AGCATTTTACAAGTCTAAGGCAGAATCCTCCAAGCAGAGGGTACACTGTAGAAATACTGTCAAACCCCAACTATGCTGCAGTTGGAGACTTTTCACAGGTTTTCACACTTTTCTATTCAAAGGCATAGGGTGTCTCAACCAAGCAGTGGTGGCGCACGACCTTAAATTAATCCTAGCACTCCGGAGGTTAGGCAGGCAGATCTCTGTGAGTTCGAGGCCAGCCTGGTCTACAGTGTGAGTTCAGGACTGGGTGCACAGCTACTGAGAAACTGTCTCGAAAAACAAAACAAACAAACAAACAAAGTACGTGAATGATTATAACAACAATGCAATGTTGAAAAGCAGACTTTTACAACTAGCAAACGCTGGGCCCTCACCACATGCGGTATTAACCTAAGCCTAGGGTTCCTTCCATGTAAAATGCGAATTAACGTCTACCTTTCGGGTCGATAATGACAAGCTGAAACACCGATCATAGATACTTGTCTACTGTAAAGGCTGATTAATATATCTCAGTCAACTCGAGCCTGCGGAGGCTTCACTATAAAACAGAAGAGCAAGGGAAAGACCAAGTCAGGTCAACTTCCACAGGCCCACGCGGTGCTTTTCACAGACAGCCCCATGGACGACGTGGACACCTGAGCTAGAACACCATGCAACTTCAGGCCAGCGGGGCAAGGGCCGCGGCGGGGCAGGGAGGGCTTGTAACGCCCACCGGGGTCGGGTTCCAGAGGCCGCGCATCCCGCCCGGCCAAGCCTGGGCCGGACAGTCGGCATCAGGTCTCCAAGGCGAAGCGAAGGGAGGCCGCAGGTGGAGAACAGAGCACGCGAGTTCCCTCACCTTCACTACTGCCGACCCCCGGCTGCCCTGCCGCCCACTGTCTACTCCGGCTCCGGGTTTGTTTACAGCTAGGGCAGCCATCCCGGAAAGAGCAGCGCCACAGCAGCAGCAGAGCCTTTAACTGAGAGGCGGGGTTGAGCGACCTACCCAGAAGCCTCAGCGCGAGCCGCCGGCACGCGTGCGCAATACAGGCGTGGTGTAGCTCCGCCTCCTCCGGCCTGTCCTCCATCAGTCATTGGATATACGACTTGCGCGTGGACGCTTTGTTTTTCATGAAGGTGCCTGCGAAAAATGGAGGGAAGAGAGGAAATAAAAAGAACGGATAGGGCATGAATAAAATTTTAGGGTGAAAGTGCCGCTCCTGTAATGATTTTTTTTCTCCCAGAACTGAAACGAGTCAGACTGAAGGAATCAGCTAATCCCCGCCCCCGACTCTGCTAAATTTGAATAAAATAGACTACAAATCCCAGCATGCCACTCGAGTATTCCCTCACCCCACCCCACCCCCCCACACACCGCGGTCTTGGAAGCCCGTATATTGTCTGCTAAAAGTGGCTCTTTGAAGTCAGCCTGTGTAATTCTGAACGAAGTAATGGTCTTCGTGAAGAGATTTTCACTGGAGCCGTAACGGATTTAATGCAAAGAGGATTTAAGTTATTACGAGCAGAAAGAAGTTGGGCGTGCTTTGACGGCGGGTCTTCCGGGACTTGTGCTTTCCAGTTTCCTTCCGACCCAAGGTTGAGCTACTGATCAGAAGTGCCTGTCAAGATGGAAGTGAATCCTCCGAAACAGGAGCACCTGCTGGCGCTAAAAGGTAAGCTGTTACGAGCCTGTGTCTCTTTACTCTTTTTTTTTCTCCCTCCCCTTCCCTCCCTTCAATATTTGAAAGATTTCCAATGTAAGCCTTATCATTAAACACGAAAAGGCTCGCCTCTTGCTGGGTATTGAGGGCGCCTTATAGATTGAAATACAATCCTAAATTCCACTGTGGTCTGTGCTACCGCAGACAGCAGATTTTATCCATAGAAGCTCATGCCTCGATCCTGCTGGGGAGATTTCTGTGAATCAGAGTAAATTTCAGCTGGCATTTAAAGCAATTTTTTATTACTCTTTGATCTGTTCATGTGACAGGACAAAGTTACCGGGCTTTCGCTTATTTGTAGGAAATAGCGCGTGATAATGCCAAGGATTTATATCTAATACCTCTGAGATTTGTTGAAATATACTACAAATTATATCATACTGTAGTATCATATTTGTGGGAAATTTATCCAGACTCACTTATGAACTTTAATTTTCTGTACGCGGCAGTTTTGAGTAATTTTAATGATTTTATTTGAACATAAGAAAGCTGGCAGGGCAGAATTCCTTAAATTTGTTTATCAAAAACCTTTTATTTAAATATTTTCAACTTTATGTTTTCTGCTACCACAAATGCACGTTCTTGCTTTTGGAATGTATGGTTATGAGGCAAACAGTGCCTTTCAAGACATTTGAACTAGACTGAATTAGACTTGCCTTCCTTAAGGCATCCATCCCTTTTGGTATACTGCATGTCCTCCCCATTTCTCTGTGATCTGGGCATCTGGGCATCTTACATATCAGAAGCTCACAATCTTGTAGCGATGGCTGCAGTGAACAGGACTGTCCCTGAATGTGGAGCTGAGAAAGTTTGCAACATTGGGTAGTACAACAGAGACACATAGGTTTCCACATGATCTAGACTAAAATAGATTACATGTGTATAAAAGGAACTTACTGTATATTCATTATCTCAATGTTACATCTAGTGTGTCAACTCGATATTACTTATCTTTTAAGGTCTAGCAACTTTCCCAAGAAAACATATCTAGTAAGAGATCGAGGCAATAATTCAAAAAGGCCTGCTTCATATTTCTAAGACACTCTGTTGCCTGACGACGTCTATATGAATTTAAAAGTTATATTAGATGCTAAGTGTGATTTCACACAACTCTGACACTATTTTTTTTGTTTGTTTGTTTGTTTTTGAGATAAGATTTCTCTTTAGCTTTGGTGCCTGTCCTGGAACTAGCTTTTGTAGACCAGGCTGGCCTCAAACTCACAGAGATCCACCTACCTCTGCTGGGATTAAAGGTGTGTGCCACCATCGCCCGACAACTCTGACACTATTAACAGTTTATATTAGTTGTTAAGTATGATTTCACACAACTTTGACACTACAAAAAATTCCAGTGATAGGTTATGTTTTAATAAAGAAGGCGTGCGTGCCTAACTATCAGAAGGGCAAAGCTAAACCACTAGAGGTTAGGCAGTAGTGGCACACACCTTTAATCCTAGGATTTGGGAGACAGAGGCAGATAGATCTCTGTGAGTTCAAGGCCAGCCTGGGCTACACAAGATCAATGCACAAACAATTTCCAGGTGGTAGTGCCTCACACCTTTTATCCCAGTACTAGGGAGTCGTACCCCTTTAATACCAACATTAGAGGGGATAGAAAAGGGGAGGAGAGAGAGGCTTAGTCTGCGGTCACACAGCCTTGGTAGAGGTTAGACTTCTAGTGACTTGGCTGCATTGGTTTTCGGTTTGAATTCCAGTATCTATGTCTGGGTTTTTATTATTCGTGCTACAGATAGGGAGTTGTATTTGTTATTATTCTTTATTTTTAGAAACACAAAATGCCTAGTAAGTAATACTTAATCAGACAAACAGGACATTAACTTTATATTAAACCTCATTGATACTGTTTTCTCCACATTGTGCTAGGTAATAGAGAATTCCACAGGGTTTAGTTTTACTGATATCGACTGTTCAAGCATACCAATTTAAACTGACATTTAACTTCATTCTCTTATGTGTTAAATGTTAGGATAATAACTTTTTACTCTTTGTGTCTTCAGCCTTCTCTCTTCTCTCACTCTTTCCATCACTTGTTTCCTTTTTGAGACAGGGTCACAGCTGTACCAGGTTAACCTCAACTCACAATGAAAATGAGGATGACCTTACATTCCTGGTCCTCCTGCCTTCACCTCCCATATGATAGAATTACAGATGTGTACAATATACCCCGTTTTATGGGATGCTGGGATTTAAACACAAGGCTTTGTGCATGTTAGGCAAGCACTCTACTGGGTAACCTACATCCCCAGTCCCTTTTGTTATTCTTGGAATGAAAATGATGAAAATGCAATGTGTTTTACCTAAAAAGAGCTTTCAAAAATTTGCTGTCTCTTGTGTGTATCACTGAATAAGTTCAGACGACAGTAAAAGAATTCTCAATACCCTACCTTACCATGAAAGATATAAAGAAGGAAGAAGAAAAAGATAAACTCATTAATTCTTTATCCTTAATCGTGGCCAGAAAGCCAAGAAGTGATGATTACCAGTTACTTAAAGAATGTGGGGCATAGTTATCCTGGCTGTGTAAGAGCCTGCATCAGTTAGTTCTCTCATGTTTTGAGAGTAGAAGATTGTGTGTGTGTGTGTGAGAAGAGCCTATATTATACTCAGCTTTGGACTGCTTAGGAAGCCCAATTTGTAGATCAGATAGATCCTGGTCGGTTTCATTCTCGAGGCCTTCTTTGCTGGAACTTCCTGTCACTGCTTTAATTTGGGACATCATGAGAACTTCTGTGTTGTGTTCTTCTTCTTTGGCATTGGTGAGGAAGCCATACATTGGCTCCGGGAGTCATAAACCTCATCTAAATGCTACTTAAATACCACCTTTATACCAAGAAGACTTTGTCATAACTCCATTTTCTATCTGGATTGACCTGCAAAGTTAATCCATTTTCATGTTTTCGGTGTTTATTATAGAGAAAGAGAGTGAATATTCTACCTCTGTGTTGGTAGGGTTTATAAAATTTTAGAGTATAATCTTATCAGTTTTATCCTATATACATTGTTTAAGCTACTAATTTTGAACTGGGCAGGATGTTGCATGTTTTTAATCCCAGCAGAGGGGAGCAGAAGCAGATGGATCTTGGTCTATGTGGTGAGTTCCAGGATAGCCAGTTTCTTGAAACCTTGTCTCAAACAAACTAAAACAAAACAAAATTTAAAAAAAATAAACTAGTAATTTCAGTTTTCTTAATTTTGAAGTCGCAGTTTTCTTTTTTTTAACAATGTTTTTTAGAAGACTTTATTTCTATGGATATTTTCCTACATGTTTGTCTGTACATGTCCTACATGTTTGTCTGTACATGTCTATGTCTGTGCACCATGTCTGTTCAGTGCCCATGGAGACCAGAGGAGGGTGTCAAATACTCGAGCTGGAGGTATAGATGGTCATGAGCCATCATGTGGGTGCTGGGAATTGAACCTGAGTCTTCTGGAAGAGCAGCTAGTGTTCTTAACCACTGAGTCATCTCTCCAGCACCCCCACCCCATGCACACAACTTTAAATATTACATAACGTGGTAAGAATCACCAGATTTTTGTTTCTCTTACGGTTTGGGGACTATGATTATCAATATTTTAATGATAATATTTCAAAATTCTTTATATCTACTTAGTTAAACATATTAACTGTCAGTATTTTCAGGCTAGATATAATCTTCATTGGAATCTAATTCAGACACTTTAATGTTGTGAGAAAGGGTTTTCAAGTATTGTGATTATATTCACGTTTGCCGTAGCACTTTGCTAACAACCACCATATGGGGAATGGGTTTTGGTTTCTCCTCCCTGCCTGTCTGTATGCCGCCTGTCCCTACCAAATCTTATTCTTTGCAATACTTCCACTTTAGGTCCTGTTTCTTCTGATTTGACCAGAAAGACAGTCTTGTAAATAATAAATTACATTCTAGCTCTGAAGAATTCGGCCGAGGAATTTCCTCTTCATTAAGAGTTAATGGAGTGCTGCAGAATGACCACTGAAGTGATACTACATTATCGGCCACATGAAAAAGATCCCACACAACTGGCAAAAATTACCGAAAAGGCAATCCAAGACTTTCCTACCCACCCACTATCAAGATTTATTCCTTGGTTTCCACAAGATGGGTCCAAACGGCCGCTCAAGCCCAAAAGATTACCACCAGTCATTTCTAGAGAGGCCGCTGAGAGTATAAAAGAGTACTTAGCCATTTCGGAACCTAGTGTTAAGTCACAGAGCTATGATTGCACAGTAGATCTCCTGGAGTTCCAACCTAGTTTGGAAATGCAGCACTTGCTCCAGTCACGCGTGCTGAATGAGCAGACTTATTCTGGAACTCCAGGTAGCAATTCAGGAAATGGGAAACAGCACCGGAAGAGATCCTGGAGCGTTTCACTTGCCAGCAAGCAATGTCCAGAAAAGAGTTTTCCTTTGTCTAAGGAATTGCAAGCTAGTTTAAAGACATTACAATTGCACTCCCTTCATAGAGCAAGATGGACATTAGAATACAGTGCTTGTAACAAGCAGACTCTGGAGGACATTTGGACAAAACTCAGTCGCCTCATCCGGCACAATGAGCTTCCCTCGTGTAACGCCACCATCCAGAGACAGTTAGGCCAGATATGGGTGTTCTGTGATATTATGTACTGTGAATATGTAGGAAGCCTTCTTAAAGAAAGATTATCTCTTATTGGGAAGATTAATTTATTTGTGCATAAATATGGTGTTATTTTTAGTATGTAATGAATTCTGATTATCAGAAAAATACTCTGAATGAAATGAATATGGACTGAAATTATAAAATGAATTCATTTTACTATCACTGCATTTTTAGTGACTTTGAAAATTTGATGTTCCTTTATAATGTGAAGAAATAGTTGTCTGATATGTATATAGTTTGTGTTCAATATATAAATGAATGTCACATGATTCCAAGATTTGTCAGTCATGTCAGAAACATTCTAGATTCTGTTCATTGGTGTTCTTTTAAGTGAACTGTGATGAATTATTGTCTGTACTAAAATTGAAAAAAAGTGTTCTAATATTTATCACCACTGATTGATTTTAAATGAATGGATTGAATTTTAACGAATCCTTAAAGTCTCTTGCTTTTTTTTTTAACTCACCTAAGTATAATGCAGGATGTGTGTAAGATTAAGTCTTAATACAGTATGTCTGATTTTGTATTTTTCAGAATTTATCACAAGGTTTTCAATTAAGGGTTAAAAGTTGGATAGTTTTGTTATTTTGAAGCATTTATAACAGAACTAAAAATGTAAGTTACAATGAGGCTATTAACAGTTTTTAAATCCAAGAGCTAAAAAGAGCTTCTTTGTTTTCATATGCCGAAGATCTGAATTTTTCTGACTTACTCTGCATGAATTGCTTTCTACTTCTCTGAAAAACGATGAAAGTAAAAACTGAGAGATAGATTTTTCTTTCCTTCAAATAGCATAGTGATCCAAAGGAGAAAAGTTTTTCCCATCTACCTAGACGAGTCTTAAGAGGTTGTCAAGGCTTGAGAACTTAGATCCACTGTTGTAATCTAGAAGGCTTTTATTTTATTTTTAAGTTACATTTATTTATTGCATGTTTGCGTGTGAGTGCACACGCCACAGTGCGTATATTGACGTCAGAGGACAGCTTGCAGGGATTGATTGGGTCTCTCCTTCTACCATGTAGGGCCTGGGACTTGAACTGACGTCATCAAGCTTGGTGTGCTTTTGCTCACCACTCTCCCCATCTGGTCTTCTAGGAATTGACCTTAGCGCCATATGTGGATCCCTGGGACTAGATGATTCTGCCAGTAGCTGGTCATAAAGGCCAAAGTCATGAACTAGTGAACTGGGCCAAGTGCAATTGCATATTCATTTTGCTTGGCCAGAATTATGAGACTAGTGAGATTCTGCTTCAGATTCAATGTCTATACTGTATGCAAGTAAGTCCACTGTTTCAAAATTTCACTGCTTAGTCACATGTAGAATATACTAGGGAAACAAAGATAAGTATGGAAAGATAAATCAGTGAGAGCCTTTGAAAAAAATGCAGTCAGATCTCTAGGAAAGAGGCAGCCATATCCTATTTTTTTTCCTAATTAGCTACCTGCCTTTAAGTAGATGTTAAAAACAATTCAGAGTGAAAGGTTATGGAGGCATCCAAGTTATAAGCTTTTATTTGTTTGTTTTAACGTTGACGTGGTCTTAGACAAACCTAACTTCATTTCCCAACTTAACAAATAACAGATGTGATTTTTTTTTCAAAATGAGTTCTCAGTTAATAATTAATCTTCACAAAATACTACAAATTAATCTAGGGTTTACAATCTTGAATGCCTCTGAGAGCCAAACAGGTGAGGCTGTAAAATGCAGAAAAGACATTGAATCTGAAGGGGAATCTACTTAGTTTCAATAATTTTGGCCAACCAAAATGAATATGCAAATTGCACTAGGCCCAATTCACTAGTTCATGACTTCTGCCTCAGCTAAGATTTGTAGTGAATGGTGTGTTTTGAGGTTCCCACTCTAGGTACCAGTACTATCTGATGTGACCCAGTGAATATTTGATTCTCAACTAAAGTTCACATGTGTCTTTTTTTAATAAAAACTAAAATGAATATTTTTGACCAATAACTTACTTTAACATTCAAACATGAGTATAAAATTACCATCCAATAACTAGTGCTTCCTTTAGTTGCTCTGTCAGTGTTTCCTGTGTGTGCACATGAAGAGGCCAGAGGACAGTCTAGGCACCTCCACACCAGCCACTTTGGCTTGTTGTTTTGTTTGCTTTGCTTTTATGGAGATTGGGTTTCTCTCTCCCTTGTCAAAGTAGGCTGTGCAAGTTGGCCAGCAAGCGCCAACAATCCACGTGTCACCACCACACCCAACTTTTTACACATGGTTTCCAGGTTCTAACTCAGGTCCTGATGCTTGCACAAACACTTTACCAAATGAACTGTCTTCCCAGCCCACTGTCAGAGTTTCTTAAACCTTGCTTTTTTAGATATGGCTTGCTCTTTTGTACCTAACATCTTCAGTTTTTGAGATCCACTAATTTATTATAAGGCATGAGATGGTGGTAAACATACATTTGGTACTGGCACATTTTATTTTGTCCTCTTCTATAGAAAAGTACATTGAAACCCAGTTTGTTTTAAAGCTCAAGGAGAGACAGGCATAGTGCACTCCTTTAATCCTAGCACTGGGGAGGTAGAAGAAGATGGATCTCTGAATTCCAGGACAGCCTGTGCTGCTAGTGACACATCATCTCAAACACTCGTGGAATGTACTGGGTGTGCTGACTTGTGGCCACAGTGCTAACACTTGGACGACTGAGGCAGGTGAATCTAAAGTTCAAGGCTAGCCTGAGCTTCAGGCACATTCCAGGTCATCCCGGGCTAAAATGTGAGACCCTGTCTCAAAACTTCAAACAAGAACAATAAAAGTTTAAGGAGTGGGCTCTTTGTGTAACTCTGCTTGCCCAGTGATGTGGTGCATAGAGCTGCGGTGCACACCTCCTTCCAGGAGGGCTAAGGCTGGAGGATGCAGAATGGGAGCCCTTGGAGGCTTCATGAAATCCTCTCTAAATGACAGAACAATGAAGACGGGCTTTGAATTTTAGCTCTTAAAATGCAGAAGGCTACCTATTATATACATACCTCCCGCAGGGTACCTGTTCATCTTCAGGTTATAGTTAATGATTTTACTTGTTTTTGTTTCTGTTTTCCTAGTTAACAGTAAGATTGGGGGCTGGAGAGATTGCTCAAAGGTTAAGAGCACTTATAGACTGCCCTTCCGTGGGAACCAGATTCCGTCATAGTGGCTCACAGCCTTCCATAACTTCAGTTCCAAAAGACCTTATGACTCTTCTAACCAGACACCCACATGTACATATACACACATCCAGGCAAAACACTCATATACATGAAAATAAATAAATATGTAAATAAATAAATAAGTCTTTTAAAAAAAAGTAAGAGTAAAGACTGTAGTCACCAACTCCGTGTCATGTCTTGAGCAGTTGGTTAACATTATTTGGAAGAGAGTCCTGCTTGACTTCAGCGGGATATTTTTAATAAGACAGTTCATCTTTGTGATTCCAAGTTTACAAGTAAGAACTGTTTGGAGGATACTCTTTGAACAGTAGGAAACCATCTGGTTCTAGTTTAGGTTCTGCCACTATGTATTTTACTATATATTATCCTTGATGTGCAAAGTCCCTCTAGCAGGCATTGTCTGCCTTGTATACATGATTGAGGTAATAATACTAACCTTGTAGAGTATAGTGCTAGTACTTATATTTAATATTATAATTATGTTGGTCTTATGGTTTAGTCGACTTGAACGTTAACCTCGACAGTTTAAACATTCTGTCTTTCTTAATTTACAGTGATGCGACTGACTAAGCCTACTTTGTTCACCAACATTCCTGTAACATGTGAAGAGAAAGACTTGCCTGGTATGTAAAGAAAGGTTGACGATTTGCCCACATTATTTTGGAAGAGGCTTACCCTTGCCGATCTTATACTAACATTTGCCGAATTCCGTGTTGCCTGTATTTGTACCGTGTGAATGGTGGCCATCTGAGAGATGGGCTCATTTGTAACCTACAGTTTAAGGTGATGTCATCTTCTGATAACAAGAGAGTTTTAGTGATACATTGATATCCTAACACTCTAAGAATGTTACTTGTGTGCTCAAATATGCATTAGCATTCTCTTCAAAAATATTGGTGTTTCTAAAGTGCATTTATGTCTTTGGCTAGCATTTTCCATTGTTTTTGAAGCATCTATTCTCTGTGAGATCAGAATTTTTTATTTAATTCTGTTTTATTTGAGGAACAGGGTCTCACTGCATATCCCAAAGTTTCTTGAATGCTTAGTCCCTTTGTCCCAACCTACCAAATGCTGTGATTACAGGCATATACCACATGGCTAGATTTTTTTGAGATGAATTTTGTGATAGTAAAGATTTAGAAATGGCATCTTATATCATAATGTATATTGAATTTCAGTGCTACAGTATTGAAAAGTATTAATATTATATCTCATTTTTTTTTCTTTTGAAAAAGAGATTCTTATAGCCCAGGCTGCCCTAGCACCCACCATGAAGCTGAGACTGGCATTAAATCCCAAAACCTCCTGCCTCCCACTTTTAAGTACTAGAATTTTGGGCTTGTGTGACTACACCCAGTTGTATCTGTTTTGAAGAAGTTAAAAATTAAAATTGTAGTACTATTTTTGTTCAGATTAAAAGGAAATATGACACCCTCCCTCACCCACCTGCCCTTGGTGCTAGGGATCAAATCCACGGCTTTATTGCTGCAGTTTAGAGAAACAAAGGCCTCTCAGCCCAAAGTCTGAATTGAGAGTCTGATTTAAGCAGACCAGCAACAGCCTGGAGAGAAACACTCTCACAGAGCAGCCTCATATGCCATGCTGCAAGGAGCTTTGAAAGGCAGAGAACACAGAAAAACTGCATCCTGTTTGGCAATTGCAAGGGAAAGTGTAAAGCCAGCAAGCAGTTTAACAGAAGCCAAAAACATGCAGTTAGCTGGAGCTTTCAACCCTGAGTTTCTAGAACAGGGTTGGGGACTATCCCATGGGACTTTTCACAACTGGTGTAGAAAAGGGGGAAATCAGTTTCAGGTTAAATCAAAGATGGCTCCAGCTGAGACAATATGGAGGAGAACGTTGCCCGGTCACATTGTGAATACTAGGCAAGTGCTCTCCCACTGAGCTGCCCACTGGTCCCCATTTCCTTACATAAGTGAAACTGGCATTAAAGGTAGATGTTAGAATTTTGTTTTTCTCTTGCTGCAGGTGATCTCTTTAACCAGTTAATGAGAGATGATCCTTCAACTGTAAATGGTGCAGAGATTTTAATGTTGGGAGAAATGTTGACTTTACCCCAAAATTTTGGGTAAGAATAATCAATTTACATAAGATTGCAGCAATACCCAAAAGCTGTCTGTCATGTTTGTATGCGGGGTAGGAAAGTGCCGATTGTGCAGTAAATGGTAAAAGCACATACAAATTGCTCTTAATGATAATGGTTCTAAAATGATGATAGCATTTTAACTTTGTTCTTTGTG